CACCGACTAACTCAAAGACTGAATTTGAATCTAAGATCTCAAAACCACAACATATTTACCATGACAAACCCCTAATCATGTAACCACGAGAGAAATTTCGGAATCAATAACCACAGAAAAATCAAGGATGAACCTAAATCAGTCACCAAGCTCTCACAACACACGAACCATCACCGACTCTAGAAAAAAATTCTATTCTCATTACCACATTTTCACAAGTCTGAGTCATACTAATCTGATGCATATCCATCGAGCACCCATCTTGGAATAATCACGCTTATCTAACCCACAGATAAAAATGATCAAGTATCCAACAGATGTGTATTCAGTAGGACAGACATGCATCACGACTACATGACATCATTATTGCATTTTGCATCGCATTTGCCCTATCTTTTTCTGTGATGTGTGGATTGTATCGGTTTACCCTTCTTATGTGGAATTTGATCTACTTGCTCTTATTTGTTGATCTGAGGTTGATGAGGATATACTGTTGGTTCTGGCTGTTGAATATGATCTGTTTAGTATAGGTTGGTTGGTTTGCTGCTAGATTGAAGTTTCGGTGGTTCAGTTGGGATTGAAAAGAGTTATTTGTAGCTGCTAGTTTTGCTTAGTTTAGAGTTACTTGCGAGTACCTGTGGTTTTCGGTACTCACCCTTGCTTCTACACAATTGTGTAGGTTGACAGCTCTCTCTCAGATTCGGCTTAGTATTTTCTTTAGCAGATTGAGCTTCGGGACATACTCGAGAGGTAGCGGTTCATTCCAGACGTGTCCTTGAGTTATCTTTACTTTCAGTTTTGTTCTATTCGAGAACTATACTCTGAGACTTGTATATTTTTATTCGAATTCTGTATTTAGAGGTTTGTACATGTGACAACCAAATTCTGGGTAGTGTTGAGTCTTAATTAAAGTCTTTCGCTTATTTATTATCTTTTATTCTCCTATTTCTACTTCTCTATCGTTGTGGTTAGGTTAGGCTGACGTGTCCGGTGGGAAATGGACATGTGCCATCACATCCGGATTTGGGGTGTGACACAATCACATGACTAATCCAAGTTTGTTGCCAAAAACATCATTCAATTATACCCTAAACTTGAACGACATCCTTATGTTATTATAATGAACAAAAAACATCCCTCAATTATTCCAAAAATGGCAAGATTCATCCTCATGTTAGTTTCTATCAAGAAATAATTGTTTAGCCGACAGACCTCTATTATGTTCACTCTCATCCCTCTCTTTTAGCTGATTGATAGGTAATTCTAATTGAAATGGACGGGCAGGAAGGAGTTCTTTATCATCAACTTCATTGTAGCAGTAAGAGTGATTCCTTAATAGATGAGAACAAAAAATATTTCAAGTAAATTATTTCTTAGCACTATATGATTATTAATAGGATAAATACAGAAATATTATTTAAAAGATGTACAGTTTCTCCTTCATTACCAAGAAAGGAGGGAATTTGAAGTATGAATTTTAGTCTATTTTTCTGAGTAGATTCAATAAAAGTATCAGTTTATTTTTTAACACAGAAGTTATATGCTTAGAATTTACATAAATGTTTTTAGTCATGTGATATTATTTTTCTTTTAGAGATATAAATTATATGAATCTTGATTAATACTTCAATATGGGATCATGATTGCTCACCCATGCTGTCTGGGGGGTTGAATCTGATTAATTTCGAGATCTGGAACAAAGAGGCTATTTGTTAATTGTTATGGGAACTTTGCCAATCTAAAGAGAAATCATGGGTAGTATGGGTGCATACATATTATGTCAATGGTAGAGATATATGGAAGAGTGACCTAAGGTGGCCTCGTGGATGATCCAACGAGTCTTTAAAGCCACAAGATATGTAGAAAATGTTGGGATCACTATGGCAGAGTTCATGGGAATGCAACAGTTCTCCATTAAGAAGATGGATCAACTACTATTAGGAGTATTTCCCAAAGTCAGCTGAAGAAAGTTGGTGTGCAACAACAGAGGATGCCCCAAGTGGACTTTAACCCTTTGGCTAGCCATAAAGGGACAGTTACAGACTAGGGACATGCTTGTTCAATGGTTTGTCCATTATCCAGGAATGTTGAGGAATTCATTCATCACTTATTACAGTAACTGGAAGTATATATGGAAACGATTATTACATTTTCAGCGAAAAACAAGACAGAATCAAGGGTGGTTGGAGGAAGTGCAGTGGGCTTAGAGGCGTTGCAAAGGGAAAAGTGAAGTTGCTAGTGTATATAAGATGGTGTTAGCTGTTGCAGTATACCAGGTGTGGCAGGAAAGGATCCTCAAGAGTTTTTCAAGATTCTACAAGGCCACAACATGTTATCATCAAGCAAATTGTACAAGAGGTGTTTCATAGAGCTAGTAGGGTACCTGAGCTAGCATCTTACATAATTAAACTGGATTGTTACCCAGTGTGATGTTATGATTTCTGAAGAACAGATTATAGGAAGGCTAGGTGAGTCTGAAGGGTGCATTTGGCATGTGTTAGTACTAGCCAGTGCAGGTCCTATTCTGCTAGTTTTCATGTTGTATTCTAATTCTTGAGTTATAAGTTTCACTTGGTAAATAATATAATTTACTTACCAAAAAAAGAATTACAACATATAGTATTTATTGTATATTTTTTGAATATTTAAACAGAAGAATATATGTAATTCTTGAAGTAGAGAGACACAAGTAGTAGCGGTCGACTTAGAAAGAAGTCAGACTGATTATTGGCATATTCAATCATATGCCACTAAATCCACACAACAATTAAAAATAAGAATCTGCAGACAATAGTATCCTACACAACTCTTATCTACCACAAGAACATCAACTCTTACTACAAAGAACAAAAAAAAGGAAACCCCAAAATCTTGATTGAATAAACGAATTAACCCAATTTTACATATTTCTATCTCCTTAGAACACAATCCACTTTATATACCACAACAACATCAACACTGATTATAGTCAAGACACGACGCAGAAGAAAGGAAAACCCCAAAATCTTGATTGAATAAACATTTAGCCAATTTAATATACTTCTACTATATATCCATATAACACAATCTTGATTCGAAAAATCACAGAAAGAAATTTCAAAAACACATTCGAGCAAACAACAAGATGAAACAGAAGTATACCTGCAATTCTTGAAGTAGAGAGCCACAAGTAGGAGCGGCCGACTTAGAAAGAAGAGACTGATTATTGGCATATTCAATCATATGTCACTAAAGTCACACACCCCTTATGATCCATTCAAAAAATTCATATTTCCCATCCCATAGCAATTAAAAACAAGAATCTGAACCCCCAAAGGTCAAGATTATCCTAGACAACTCTAACAAGATCAACTCTTACTACAAAGACGAAGAAAAAAGGAAACCCCAAAATCTTGATTGAATAAACGAATTAACCCAATTTAATATGTTTCTATCTCGTTAAAACGCAGAAAGAAAGAGCAAGAATCAATTTTAACAAACAAGAATATGAAACAGAAGCATACCTGCATTTCTTGAAGTAGTAGTAACCGAGAGAGGAGAGGAAACATCCACCATACCGGCGGGAGAATTTATATATACATCCACCGTCTTAACCAAATTAAAAGACGGTGGACAATTTATTCCTTTAATTCTCTACTACAATACTAAAATGTTAAAAATTAAAATGTTTCAAAAATAGTCATTTAATACTCCCTCCGTTTCACAAAGATTGATCTGGTTTGACTTGGCACGAGTTTAATATTAAGGGAAGACTTTTGCCATATCATCACAAATATATATAAACTACCGATTATGCCCTTCAGTGAAGTAAATGAACTTGTGAAAAGAAGAGAAAGTGAATGAATACGTGTTAATACCAAAAAGAAACTTCAAATACTGTACACAATTATGACATCTCTAGCATGCTGTCTCATTTGCATTAAATGTGTGTCCATTTTTAATTTTCTTTAAGTTTGTCATTTCTCTCTCATAAAAAATCATTCTTCAATTTTCTTTTTTTAATTTAGTGTCTAATCCAATTCTCTCTTTTTCTTGAAGAGCAAAGCTTATCTTAGTGAAGATTAGCAATGTTAAAAAAAATTCAACAATTACAGGTTGATTTATTTATTTATTTCAACAATTACAGGTTAATTTATTGGTTTTTGTATTCTTTTATATTCTTCATTATTTTAAAAAAGATTACTCATGATTTCCTATTCTACATAGCCTCCAACAATGATTAAAGATTTTGGAGGGTAAATTTTCGTTTCCCTCCATGGAGCCAAATAATTTTGCTAAATATTTTAAATTTATTGATAATAAGGTTATGTATTTATAGTGATGCTGAGATTTTTTAACCTTTGTACATACAAAAACAATGAACTCACAATTAAATCCAACTACAGTAAATTCAAGACTATATTGCAAAGATCATCAAGTTATTGGTGAATGGCTTTTGAAAGAAAGCAAAGCAGGGCGTCTTCGATATGGGTCTGTAAAGCAAGCTGCAGAGTTATTTCACACTTCGGAAAGTACGATCAAACGAATTTGGAGACAAACAAGATTATCTCTTGATAATGGAACTACATTAAAATCTTTCACCGAGACTTGTTGGTACAGTTGGGAGAAAACGAATTCAAATCGATCTTAATCGAATAAAAGAAATTCCTCTTTATCGTCGAACAAATATTTGATCTTTAGCATGTGCGGTCAACGTGTCAACATCAACTCTTTTTCGACGTATCAAAGAAGGTGCTATAAGGGCTCACACAAATGCTATAAAGCCTCATCTGACAGAGAATAATAAAAAGGTAAGGGTTCAATTTTGTTTATCAATGCTTGATCCGGATACTCTTCATTCGAATCCAAAATTTTCAGATATGTTCAATTATGTTCACATAGATGAAAAATGATTTCTTCTATCTAAGAAATGTGAACGGTACTATCTCCTCCCAGAAGAACTAGAGTCTAATCCATATAGATCATGTAAAAGTAAGAACTTCATCACCAAAGTTATGTCCATGGCTGCTGTTGCACGTCCTAGATTTGATCAAAATGGAGTTGAATTGTTCTCGGGAAAAATAGGGATCTTTCCTTTTGTGGTCAAGGAGGCAGCCAAGCGGAATAGCAAAAATCGAGCTGCAAGAACTTTGGAAACAAAACCTATTTTATCTGTGACTAAAGATATCACAAGGGATTGCTTGATCAAAAAAGTTCTTCCAGCAATTAGATCAAAATGGCCAATTTCAGAGTCAAATACTCTCATTTTCATCCAACAAGATAACGCAAGACCTCATATTGATATAAACGATATGGAATTTAACGAAGCTGCTCGAGAAGGTGGATTTGATATCAGACTTTGCTTTCAACCTCCTAATAGCCCGGATTTAAATGTTTTAGATCTTGGATTCTTTAGAGCCATTCAATCTCTTCAATATCAAAAGGCTCTTTTAACCATTGATAAGTTGATAAATGCAGTTGAAACATCTTTTAACGAAATGAAATGGGAGCGACTCAATCACGTGTTTCTAACTTTGCAAGCTTGCATGATTGAAGTGATGAAAGCTAAAGGAGGGAACAACTATAAAGTGCCACACATGATGAAAGAAAGATTAGAACGAGAAGGAAATCTTCCGATTCAACTTTCTTGTGTTATTGACATTGTCAATGAAGCTAATGCTCTGCTTCAAGTGTGATATGAAATATATGTATGTCAATCCTAATAGGAGTTGGTGCGGCCTCTTTTTTGGTATAAGATCATATATGTAGATAATCTTTTTTTTGTATAAGCTCCTACATGGCTGGCCTTTTTTATCTTATTTTATGTAAATTTCTACATCTAAAATTAATGTAATTTTATCTCTCAATTGAAGAGATTAATGTACACAAAGAAATTATTCATATTATGAGTGTTTTTAAATTTGATGGTCTCAACTAAGCCTTTTGATAATTCAATAGTGATATGCACTTGAATATTCCTATGATGGTGTTAATAAGAAAATTTCTTTGTTGAAAAATTATGAATTGGTACTATCCTAAGTATTGCACTAGAAAAAAAATGAAAGAGACAAAAAATTAGGAAAGAATAAAATAGAAAGAAGAAGTTAAAAGTGGCAAAGTTAACAATTTAATTGGTTGTACTTTTAAATGATTACCGTATTTTCCATCCAATAAAAAATATTAATCTGACATGTTTTTATATCAGTGGGTCCATGCTTAGTGAATTTTTAAATTGATGGTAAGGGTATTATTGGAATCATAAAATTTAGGTGTTGCCATAAAAGGAAATGGGTCATTTATTTTGAAACAGACTAAAAAGGAAAGGAGGTCAATCTTTTTGAAACGGAGGGAGTATTATTTTTTAAAATACTTATTTTTGAAATAGATAAGATATCCTAATATTTAGTACTTTATTTTAAAATTGCCAAAAGTATTTCATATTCCTAATTCTGCAAAAAGTAAGATTTGAGATTCCTAATTATGATTTAATTATTTTTTAAAATGTAAAACACTCATTATTTTAAATTTTGAAAGAAAAAAAAAATCTAAAACGCAAAGATTGTCCATACCACGTGAAATGATTATATAAAAGAATAGCTAGTTACTACTTTTGTTGACGAGTGGATCTTTATAAAATTGTGTTTATCTGAAACTTTATAATAGCAAATATTTATTTATAAAAGAAACATGAAGATATGTGATTTGTCAATGTGGCGCCTTAGAATACTTGTTTATAAACTATATGGTTTGCTCGATCATTTGTAAAATTGTATAAGAATTGGAGAAATTTTGATAATTTTCACAACTTGTTGGGTTTTCATGTCCAAACAATACTTCAACTTCAAATCAATCCCCTCTCTGATACATTTCTATCCTCTTTCGAATACATCCCTCCCCTCTAGGATACATCTCTATTCCCTCTCGGACACATCCCTCCGTTAAGTAATGTATCATTTGCAATGTATCAGACAACCAAAAAATGTATCTGAAAGCAATTGAAAATCTGTGATTTTTGTAATTGAGAAAACTTTTGAAATAGGATATAATTAGCCCCAAATATATAATTTTTTTGTAAAATTCCCTATTAATATTGTGATGATAACGTGACACGATTTGTATAAAAATTGAGAAGAATGAAGTTTTGAGACATTGTATATCCCCTTAGAGATATGTGTATATCATGAACCTCATAGAAACTTTTACATAAATACCAATTTGTAGAAATTTTTTAAAGTATCAGCTATAGCTAGATGTATATAAAACTTTTCCTAATTTGTTGGCAAATGAAATATAAAATAATATAGACAAGAAAATTGCTATATTGTTGTTTGAGAATTTTTTATCAAATAAGAAGCACTAGAACGCAAGAAGAGAGGAGACTCGCATCCGCATAATATTTGACATGCATCTGCTTAGAGATTAGCTTATCCCGCATAGTTTTAAACTCACTTCATATCTACCCCGCACCGCCCCATTATCATTCCTAACCTCATAGAAAAAAAGCTTGCCCTTTTCCTATTTCATGTTTGCTCTTCGATGAGAGGCTTCCCCAACATCTTCTTTTAAAAATTCGACCTATCATAAACGTGAATCGTTTCAAGCAAATTATATATTAAATGATTCGAAATCTCAAGAGAATTTCATATTATTTACCCAAAAACAGCCAGTCTCTGCCTTTCTCCTCTTCTTCTTCTTTAAAATTTGATGTACCGCAAACATAAATCATTTCGAGCGAATTATATATCAAAAGATTTGAAATATCGAGAGGAATTCATATATAAAATTTGGGACTGTTTAGAGGATATTTTGAGTTGGTTAGAATTAAATAGTCAGTGTATACTTCATGTATAGAGTATAGTTAATATATTCAGTTTTTTGAGTGTATCATAATGTATAGTCAGTGTGTAGTAACTATATTCAGTTTTCAGTGTACCATAATGTATAGTCAGTATATACTTTCTGTAACTTTTGACTATTTTCTATGTAAATAAAAATAAGACTGTATTTATTGTAAATTAATTACGAAATTATCTCTTGTGAAAATAGAGGGAAAATGGTTTTAGATCGGTATACATCTATGTATATATCTTCCTGGATATATGTGCATATATTTTCTGTATGTTTGTGTATTACATGTATATTTTATTTATAAGAAAAATTGTGGTGTGATACAAGTGATATGTTGTTACACTGACGCTTTTCATATCCATTACGACTCTTAATTTTGATTCTAAATCACCTCCAATATTCCTCATCTTTTGTATATATCCTCATTCATGTGTTCTAAACAAATTTCAACAAGCACTTTAATTTCAAATTGGCATTTGAAATGTAATTTGAAATTATGATTTTATCTCTAATTTTTAGAAAAGTATAATTTGGAATTCCAAATTATGATCTTAATTTTTTTTCATATGCAAACTTCTTATAAGTTTTGTATTTGTACAAAAAAAGACTCATCATTTTAAAATTTACAAAATAAAATAAAATTTAAACTCATGCTCAGCGTGAAGACATTGTTCGTACCATGTGAAAGTTGTATTAAAGAGTAACTAATTACTATTTTTGTTGACAAGTGGATCTTTATAAAATTAAGTATATCTGAAAGTTTGTAATAACAAACATTTGTTTATAAAAGAAAATGGAGATCTGTGATTTATCAATGCGGCGTCTATGGATATTTCGATATCTTGTTTATCAACAATGATTTGCTCATTGGTAAGATTATATATGAATAGGGGAAATTTTGATAGTTTTTACAACTTGCGGGGTTTTCATATTTATGAGAAGAAAATACAATTTAAAAAATTTAATTTGTTTGTCCTAACAGAACTTCAACTTCAAATCAATCTGATTTCACATCATAATTTCATATTGCTTATCATGATTCCATATCGCTTATCGGCCCCGGATGAATGTATCTTTTTGCAAATAAAAAATGTAGCACACATGAAAAAGCAATAAAGAACTTTATCATAAAAAATATAACTTAAATTACATTTTTTTTAAAAAAATTACTTTTCATTATTATATCAATTGTATCCTCGATAAAATCATCAAAATTCAAAACCAAGTAGCATAATTTTTACATAAAATTAGTTATCTCCTGTATTCAGATTAGTAAATCAAAAAAAATAAAAGATGAAAAGAAAAACACAAAGAACTATTCGAGTCCACAGAACCCACTGTGTGTCCTTAAGAAATTTAATCCCCTCAAATACCCGAGGTTGCAGATTAATTCCTCCCAAGATAAAACGGATTAATCATTAAAGAAGTAGCGGTACCTCAAACTTCGATAATTTCAACGAACTCAAAATGACAGTAACGAATCACACACACAGACACGATCGATCGATTTTGTTTTGTAAGAAATGTATGCAAAAGAATGGAAGAATTCGATGCAGAAAAATGAGAGAAAGCCTCTCTATTTATAGCCAACAAAGGGTAAAGCTCACAACCCTTTGGAAAGAAGACAACCTTTCAGAAAAGTCACAACACTTTGGAAGAGGCACAACCTTTCAAATGGTCATAACCCTTCGGCATAGTCACAACCCTTCAGGAGAGTCACAACCCTTCATTTCTTGTTCACACATTTAAAACCCAACATTCCCCCACATGAATAGGGAATGGCTATTGTTAAAGCATATGCATGAAAAACGGTGTGATTCGGAAGTAAGGATTGATTGCATTTGGATTAGTGGGTTTCCCTTTGAACTTTTCATAGTGAACATATATCGGATATACTCGGTCAATTGGTAGATTTGATATCTTTGAACGTCGAGCTTTGGTGTACACCTAGACAACATAAGTCACACAATCAACCCTTGAACTGTTTTTGGTTCTCATTGTTTTGTTCATTTCAGCCATGAACACGTCTTGGTTTATAAATGCGTAGAGAACTGGCCTTACCGGATTCTCCTTCAAGCGGCTTACACTTCACACGTACATAGGTGATTTCTGAATGTGTTATCCCATACATACACCATTTGATATACCCTGTATCAAATTTAGAAACCATTAAAAAGTCTTGATGCCTTTATCCTTGTTACTAAACATTGTCTTATTATGAGAATGGACCATAAAAAATATTTTGACAATGTTGAACCGTCATCAATGACTTTGTTTGATCTCCTTGAACCTAGATCTTGGGATCTCCAGTCTTCTAGGTAGAGTTACCGCCACAATGACTTGTTCTCGGCCATAGTCCCATTCCCTTTGATAATCTATCAACTCCCTCTCTAGTTAGGCCATTTATAAGTGGATCCGACACATTATCATTTGACTTTACATAGTCAATTATAATAATTCCACTAGAGAGTAATTCTCTAACGATATTATGTCTACGTCATATATGACGAGACTTTCCGTTATACATCATGCTCCATGCCCTACCTATTGCAAATTAACTCTCACAGTGTATGCATACTAGAGCTAAAAGGTTTGGGCAAAATATCTTTCAAGAAATTTTGTAGTCATTCAACTTCTTCACCGGCCTTATCTAGAGTGATAAACTCAGATTTCATAGTAGAACGAGCGATACATTTCTGTTTGGAAGATTTCCAAGAGACTGCTCCTCCACCAAGAGTAAATACAAATTCACTCGTGGATTTTACTTCATTTGACCTAGTGATTCAATTTGCATCACTATATTCTTCCAATACTGTTGAATATTAGTTATAATGCAAAGCAATAGTTT